GTGCCTGGGATGAGTTTTTAATGAAGTGCCTGGGATGAGTTTTAATGCAGTGCCTGGGATGAGTTTTAATGAAGTGCCTGGGATGAGTTTTAATGAAGTGCCTGGGATGAGTTTTGTCTCATGGACAGATTGAAGATGTGGGTCACAGGGACTGTGATGATATGAGCAGCCAGCCTTAAGAAGTAAGGTGGACTAAAGAGGGTGAGTCCCAAGACTGAGCCTACATACATAATGTAGGTCAGATCATCCCTGATGCATCCATACACTTCTATGCTGATGACACAGTTGTTTATTGTCGAGCTCAAACTGTTGCTAAGCAGGCAGGGCTGCACCGACTGCAGGTTTCTGGCCGATCACTGATCTTTAAAAAGTCTGACCTGCCGATTCTGATTTTGGCTGATACCAATTTTGTTTTACAAGTGCTGTCAGGTGTTATAAGGTCACAATGCACCTTCAATTTTCTAATCTTATTTTATTGAAAAATATACCCTTGAACAACATCCTAGAAACAATACAAGCTGGTTTTAACTGGCCACGAGGCAGAGCTCTGAAATATAAATGAAGTTCAGACAATTGTTGTTAAAACTAGAAAAAATCAGTAAAATCGTTTTCTCGTGTAAGTATCTGCCGACTGCCAATCACCTAAAATAAAGGACATTGGGGCCGATAAATGGGCTGGCCAATTTATCAGTGCACCCCTGTTGCTAAGGTTTTCCAGTTTTTGCAATCTGGATTCAACATCATCCAGTCAGATTTGTTCCGCCTCAAACTGGTGCTGAACGCTGATGAAACCACAGGGATGCTTTGTTCAAACAGGAAGTCAGTCCCAGCAGTTCTTCCTCCGATTTTATCCTCTAATGGTGTCCCCATTGAGTTTGTTGATTCCTATAAATATTTGTGTGTCTTGGTCGACTCACATCTTTCTTTTAAGCTCCAGGTGTAAAACTTGATAAAGAAACTGGAAGTTAAACTGGGTTTCTTTTTCAGTAACAGATCCTGTCTAACCCTGAATGTTAGGAAACTCCTTGTATCTGTGACTTTCCTTCCCTTCATTGATCACGGTGACATTATTTACATGAACGCTCCTACAAGCACCCTGCAGATGTTGGATGCTGCAGATGTTGGATGCTGCAGATGTTGGATGCTGCAGATGTTGGATGCTGCAGATGTTGGATGCTGCAGATATTGGATGCTGCAGATGTTGGATGCTGCAGATGTTGGATGCTGCAGATGTTGGATGCTGCAGATGTTGGATGCTGTCTATCATGGTGCACTAAGATTCATAACTGGCTGTAACTACCGTACCCACCACTGCACCCAGTATTCACTGGTTAACTGGTCACCATTAACTTCACACAGACTCTCCCACTGGTACATCTTCATCTTTAAATCACTTCCTGGTCTGCTGCCTTCATACATCTCCTCCTACATGTCTCTGTGTGAGTGCAGCTACAGCGTGCGCTCTCAGGACATCATTACCTGCAGTGTTCCCTCAGTGAGGACTGAACTAGACAAAAGGACCTTCTCCTACTCCGCTCCTGTTTCCTGGAATATCTTGTAAAAAGACCTGAAGCTCTCGACCTTTGACCTCTCTAAGTGGCTTCAAACATCTGTTCAGTTCCTGCAGATGTTCCTGTTTTTAGTTTTCTACATCGTCTTATGATCTAGATGTTTTTTCGTATCATTTTCTTGCTCAGTTTTCAAATGATCTGTTTCTTGTATGCTTGTCCATGTTGTCATGACTCTTTGTTAAACCAGGTCTCTGTAAACGAGTCCTGGAGGCTCAAGGAGACCAACCTGGAGAAATAAAGCTCGAGTGAATGAATCGCCTCACAGCAGTTAGCATCCCAAAGGCTAGAAACAAAGTTTAGCATCTGAAAATCATGACGCAGTTTTCTTTCAACAACCTTTAAACGATGACTTCCATAAATAAGAACAGTTTACCTCCAGAGAGCCCTGAGCTTCATGAGTACCCAGAATCCACCGAAGCATCTCTCCGTGTCCCACCAACAACCTGAGCAGATCAAAGTCTGTTAGCTTCGTGCTAGCCTAAAGCAGCCGGCTCAACGGATAACAGATTTAATGTCTCAGTTAATAAAGCTGTCACCCGCCGACACAGACGATAAATCCCGCCTCGCTCCGCTTCAGAGGACGTTTCAAAAGCAAACAGCTCAGATTATTGTTAATTTAATCCACCGGATGAGAAGGAAATAAGGCTAATAACGCCGTCACTTAGCTTACATCATGTAAACAGAGAATTCAAGTCACGAGCGCAACAAACCGTCACGTGACTCACTACGGAAGCCTCTGAGTTCAGGAAGTGAAAGCGGAACACAACAGCGCGCTTTTTGTGTTAAATTTCGACATTTGCCGCAGTTTATATAAAAAATACAAATATATATAATTCTGTTAAATCATTAGTGAAGTCACAAATATTTTACCTAAAAGTGGGAGAAGATATGTTTATGTGATTAATACCGATACAACATATAAAATGTTTTTCTAAGTATCACAACATGCAGTAAGAATTAATTTAATTTAATTCATGTAAATATTAAATAATCATAAACGTTGAGAACAACGCGCTGCAGGCGGAGCTCCTGTTTGAATGGCTGCAGTTCATCTTCCTACCACTAGATGGCAGTGTGTCATAATCTCATCTCCACAAACAATTCTTTTGATCTAATCGTCTTCTATTTGTGCCAAAATAAATAATACATTTATTCTTTAAATTTTTAAAAACGTTTGTATGTCATGTTTTATGTTTTTTATCTTTGTTTGTTTTTTTACAGCATATTTCTCTTGTTTTGTCCCTCTTCCTACAGTAAAGTTAACTTTCTTCCCATTTGGCCCAGTTTCTGCACCCTGCTGGGTTTGTGTTTCCGCTCACATGCGCACCAACATGTCGTCACACACAGCAGCCCGTCTGTGGACGCTCCCCTGATTGAGACGACATGCCGTGTGGGCCTGTGACCTTCATGGTGGCTCAGATCTGCTGCCGCCACTGATTTCTGATTTAGTGTCGATCCGCTGCGCTTGTCAGGGGCTACGAGCTGCTTTCCACACGCTAACAGAAAAGCTCAAGGGCAGCTCAAGGGCAGCTTGAGAACGGAGGAGGTCGGCGAGAGGGACCGGTTCAGCTGCTGTCAGTGGCTTCCAGTTGTGGGGCCGCGCAAGCCTCAGTTTGTTCTGCGTATCCGAGCGGACGGAGCGTTTCTGTGAACTGCAGCTGCATGGGATTCATCCCACGAGGCCTGGGTCTGGTTCCAGCTCAACCTTCATGTGACCTAACGCTC